CGGAGCCGAAGGAGGAAAAATATGGAAGTTTCGGTGGTCTTTGCCCGTCGTTACCTTCCCAGGTAGCTCTAACTGAAACTGTTTCTCGAGGGCTTTGTTAACGAGAGAAGAACGGGGGGTATGTGAGAGTTTCAGTCGAATTTTGAGAGGGGAAAGGAAGGTAGACGGAGGGTTTCGGGCCGAAAAAGAAAAAGAGGAAAATATAGGTTTAAGCAGGATTTAACCTAAACTGTGCCAAACAGCACCACGATTCCGCCATTTTCTTCTCAGCTGCCTCTGGTTGCGACTGCCTTGGGATTCTGTGAGAGAAAATGTAGGCGAGGTTTCCCTTGAAAATGGCAATGCAAGCTTGAACAAAGAGGAAGGAGGATGAGAGGAATTGCAGAAGGGAGGAAATAGAGAATGTCGCTGCGAGAAGGAAGCGAGCAGATTTGGAGGAAAACGGGCAGCAGAAAATGGCGGGAAATAATATGCGAGCGTCAGTGGCGAGCAAAATTGACTCATTTACGTGCTTATCTCGATAAATTGCTACTTGCACGACATATCAAATTATATTGGTAAAGTTTCGTATTAGAAAAGTTAATTAATTTTAGATTTGGATTATTTTTATACTTTTATACCATTACATATATTTCATATAATTCGTTTAAAACATTTTTGAAAAAAAAAATATATAATAAAAAAAATTAACCCACTAATTTTAATTTCTGAAAAATGAACATAAATATATCATAATCAGACCAAATACAAATTAGAAAGTCTTTTTATATGTCAAACACATACTCATATATGATTTATATATATATATATAAATTTTGTGAGTAAAATCATAAGTATTCATTTTATTTCTTGGGCACTGTTTTTTTTTTTTTTAAGAATCTCATAATAAATTTTATTTCAATATAGAAAATGTTATAAGGTTTGTGACTGAAAGTTTCACGAAAAAAAGAAACCGTCAGTTACTAAATACAACTCACGCAAAAAAAGTCTAAAAAATATTATCACATCGAATATAAGGAGTTTCTAAATAATTAATCTTCATGAATAAATCTTCATGAATACGAATAGAAAGCTCATGAAGTACTCGAACCAGGAACATGAAATATTGTTTCTCCAATTCACACTTAGCAGCCCAATTCACACATTGGTTTCCTTTACGATATGTCAATAGTCAATTAACCTGCACAATCTTAAAGAGAGCAAATATTTCTTGAGCACCGTAATTCATGGGAAAACTTCGGGATAGTAATACATAAGTATTATATATTTACATATTTAAAACCTCGATTGTTATATTTACATGTATAATTTTTAAATTTTTAACAACACTACACAACCCACATTAATAAGTGATTTTGAGTTCAAATCTTTACATAGACGGTGTGCATGCATTTACAATTAAATTTACTATTGTGTCAAATATCTATCTATCTATATATATATATATATATATATATATATATATATATATCAATTGCTTATATCACATAAAAAATGGCCTTATTATTTAGTTTTTAACATTTTAAAAATAAAATTTATTATTTCATGTATAAATTTATGATACCAAAATATTATAAATATAAACATAAGAGTTTGTTTTAGATACACTAACCCGCATGACTCGTATTACCTCATATTACGGCTGAAATAATTTTTTTGAGAAATTTACATACATACCACACAATTCTTAAATTTGCATTTATAACACCTTAATCTCATTAACTTAAATGTCTATATCACTTTTTGCAGATTTTGCTGACATGAGTTTGAAAATTGTATCGTCGATAAAATATGCATTTTTTTAGAGTTAATGTAGACATTTCATTTTCATTGAACAATGAATTAATAAAGGAAGCAAATAAATAAATTTCAATTTCAAACATAGAAACAGTAGAGCCCGGCAAATATGTCATAATTCCATTAAAGTTCATATATTTTTATCATTTCAATATCAAAACTAACAAAAAATACTTTAAAACATGCACTTGAGTGCATGGACACATGCACATGTAGGGCTGTCAAAAAAGCTCCTTGTTCGTAAACAGTTCGTGTTCGGTTCGTCAATGAATTGGTGTTCGATTCGTTTGATAAGTATACGAGACAAACGTGAACAATTTTTTTTCATTTTGTTAGTTAAATAAACCAAACAAGAACAGTGATGTGTTCGTTCGTGTTCGAATCGTTATTATTCGAAATATAAAACAATTTAAAATTATTATGTATAAAAAATTTATGATATTTTAAAAAATTAAATTTTATAAATTATAATATATAATAAATTAATAATAATAATATAATATACTACTATATTAGTAATATACTAATATATATATTATATATTTATATAATATAAGTTATATAATTGATATAATATATTATTTATATATATTAATATTAGGGATGTCAAACTGGCTCGTCATTCGCGAACAACTCGTGTTCGGCTCGTTTGTTAAGAAACGAATACGAACAGTGACTTCACAAATAATTTCGAACACGAGCTTATTTCAAACAAACTAAATTTCAAACGAACCGATCCTAGCCCTCCGCTTCACTGCCAACGTAATTCCAACCCCTCCTTTTGTTGTTCCAACCACCTAAACCCATTTCAACAATTTATCTCTGCTCCCAAGCCGCCTAGCTAACCTCCACCACCCAAGGATTGAGCCCTAGTGTGAGATTGTGTCGTGCTTGTTGTTATCTCTTTCAAGTAATTCCAACCCCTCCTTTAGTACACAACTAGCTCGGTTTCTCGCCACAAAGAGGGTAGGGTATTTGGTTTTTAACTATCAAATATAATTTGATTAAGAATTCATTTATTTGATGGTAAATTGCAGGGGTGTCAAATTGGGTTCGCATACCCAAAATTGCCCTGACACAAAGTCCCTCAACCCAAACATAACCCGAATTTTAGACGGGTTAGAAAATTTAACAAGAACTAACCCGCCTTCAACTATTGACCTGAACCTGACATGTACAAACCATTTAACATAAGACATAAAAACTATTCAAATCAAATTTGAGTTAATTTTAAGTCAATCTCATGCTAATTTTGAATTGACATGTTGATTTTGGGTTGAATTTTAGTTAAGATTCCTAACCCAAATCCAAACCAAAAAATTAAACGGGTTAATATTCCTAACCCAAAGAATACTTGGGTCAACCTAATCCATGAGCTTTTGAGTTGAGTTTGCTCCTAGTAAATCACATAAGAGTTCAAATAAGGCTTAACTGTACAAATACCCTATCTAGTGCCAATGGACGAAGGCAAAACTATGGTATATTAAAGAGCGTCCTATATAACCATCTTAAGGTGATGTGAAACGATATCAATAAAAGAGTACAAATCAACCTCATCAAACAGTGGGAAGTTATGTAGTTCAAACTTGGATGCTATCACATAGTATGGCATTTAATATGAAGAACCGTGAGATGCTTTAGACAATTGCAAGATTTAAAAAACGCAATCATAGAGTAGGCAACGATATGAGTAGAGAACAACCTATACTTCCATATACAGAAGTTGAGGAGCAACAACAATGATTAGAGGCTTCTCCTACTTAAGCTCAACATCAGACTCTAATATCTTGGAGCATTTACACACACAGCACACAATTCTTAGCTATTTACATATCTCACATCTAAAGGTTCATATTTACACAGCACGTAAATCGCTAACACCACATAAAAATTAACACTATTATCATTTTTTTAAAAAGTGTTAATACACTTTTCATGCATAAATTTTTAAAGCACCAAAGTTTTATGTGTGTGAGATATGTAAATACATAAGAACTGTGGCTATGTAAGTAAATTTATTTAATTTTCATTTAACTGCTCAAACTGCTCGGCCCCTGAGATAGTTCATCACTAAGCTAATTCAACATTTGAGTGAAATTTATCTCCTTTGATCAAACGAATCCTATAGACCACGAAGCTAATCGGGTCACTACATCAAAGAGGCAAGTGAAGTTCAACTCACAGAAAGGTAGTGCTGACTCGGCAATTCAAATTCAACAGCTCATACTCTGTCGTACTGCATCATCTAGGTCTTGGACTTGAGTTTGGTAAAACCTCATTTGGCCATACATTATACACTAAAATGAAACCAAGCAAGAACACCAACATGAATTGTTAACCCAAACCCTCATCACGTTGAATTTTTATAGTAGCAAATGTGTTATAATGTCAGTTCTGCCGAAGTGAGCCCAAAAGCATTTACTGAATTATAGAGGCAAGTAGACACAACCAACTGAAGCAGAATATATATATATATATATATAATTAAATAATTAGTTTACAAGGCTGAGACTTTGAGCACAGAAACATCAGTTGCAGAATCGGATACAAACACAACATTTAACATTAAAAGTAAGCTTTTTTACATAATTACGTCGTTCTATTCTTATAATTCTTTAGCACATGGAAGCAGCATAAATAAAACACGCCTGCTTGTATTAGAAGCCCAAAATAAATCTTTTGTTAGCCTGTAGAAGTGCATTGGTTTTTTATCCCTACCGCAAAAGTATTTACCAGAGTAGTCATTAAAATTTGGTAGAAAAGAGTGCTGGAGTTGGAGATATTAGAATATCACCATAAGGTTCTCCTTGCTCAACGGTGATAAACTTGTAGCTCTTTAAAACCTGTTAACATCACAGAGTTAGTTGATAGACCCACTAGCTCCAAAAATACATAGATGCAGAAGAAAATAAAAAGGAAAACAACTTAATTCACTGATGAGCATAAATTTAACCTTTTTGTACTAAACCCAACTTTAAGAGTACAAAAAAGTTTAGCAAATTACCAGAATTTCAAAGAGCATTCTTGAACATTGCCTCCGAGTCTTCTGCTGTAGAATCCCATTCAAGCTTATACGTTTTGATTCATGTGACTTGGATTCAAGAGAGTTATCTTCAAAATATTTTGGCACAGCCCTACAAAAGGAAGAAATCCCTTATGATCCAATATGAGCATTATATTTACAACTAACAAAACAACGCCTTTTACCTTGTTCGAGAAGACAAATTTTCAACGTCAAATGCATTGCGAAGACCTGCAATTAAAAACCAAGGTGATATTTTTAAACAGTGGAACGTAAAGCTTCATCCTTTTTCTCCGTACAAGAGGAAAAAAGAAGATAAATAAATGCTAGGGAAGTTTGAAACCCACCCACCTGGTGATGCCTCATTTGCATTCAAAAAGTTTAGGTCCTACAAGTAGCCACTCAAATTAGTTAATTGGAAATAGTTTATTTTAGTATTAAATAAATATGCTAATTAAACTTGTGGCTTTAAATGTAGCATAAATTCTGATGTATTTGCATATCTCGCGCCTAACTTTCACGTTACATACATAAGTGTTTAAACTTATGCATAAGAAAGTGTATTTAACTATTTAACTATTAAAAAGTGGTAATTGTGTATTTAACTATTAAAAAGTGGTAATTGTGCTATTTTTTATATGCTATTAATGATTTGAGTGCTATGTGTGAAAATATGAAAGTTTGGGTGTGAGATATGTAAATAAATGAGAATTGTGTGTCATTTAAAGGCCCCTAAATTTTAATCTTACTTCATCGGCAGAATCTAACAAACCAGGAGCTTCTGGGACTTCTGTGTCATCCAAATGAAGTTCTCTCAAATGAAATGGAGGAGTTTCAAGATTGAGCCTTATGGGTTCAACTGGAGAAGAAATTTCATTGGCAGACTTCAAAAGAGTTTCAGAGTTCTTTTCTTTGAGAAGTTCTGAACCAAAATCACTTTCGATTAGAGTAAATTGTGGGATTAGGTCTTCCATGTTATCACCATCTCGACCCTTTTCAATATCACTAAATGCATTAATTGTTGGGGTTGTTGGCTGTGCATCCACCACAATGGTTCCCATCTCTTTCTCAGGCGCAGCGGCTTCAAGTGAACAAGGATAGGCTCTCTCAAGAGCTTCAACAAGACTGGTGTTCATTCCTACATAGAAAAAAAAAAGGTGACTGATATGTAAATACATAGGAATTGGGTGGGTTGTATGTATGTAAATCTTTCAAAAAAAAAAAAAAACTGCATGTCATCAGAAGCATTACACCTAGAAAATAGCTTTCTAGAGACAAGACAAAAAATTGCAAGCTTACTAGAAAGCAATGGCATGTCAAAAATGTCTTCCTTTGTATGAAACCTCTGAAGCTTCCAGACAGCCAAATCTGAGCAAGGAAGTTTTCTTCTCTTACAAACAATGTTGGCACTTTCACCAAGTTGCTTTTTCATTTGCCTATAAACATGGCATGCAATTTTATCAACACATATTTGTTCAACAAAATAGCTGAAAACCAGTAAAATACATGAAAAGTGAATTTCATGGCAAAAGCATCACGTTGGATAATAGAAGGGGCGACAATGCAAGCAATATTCGAGTTCACTGAGCAGAAAGTGAAGAAATGTGTGTATTACAGCCCTTCTAACTCTTCCACATCTATCTCCTGAACATCATCACCATATATGTCATCTATCCGAGCTATATCTATAATATTTATGATCCTGTTTTTTAAGGTACCTTTAATAGACTTTAAATAACGTTATATAACCCTTCTCTAGCAAATTCACATTAACTCTAAGCAAGTGGCTTCTACTTGTGGCCAATATACATGCCCAGACATCTCAATAATAATACGGACATTAAAGGATGCTAAACATAACAGCCAATTAACAAATGAAATGTTTTTAGGTACAAAATCTGTAATTCGGGGATAAACCAATCTGCAATTATGAAAATTCTAAAATGATTGATGGGGATAAACCAAACCGGCTGCACTAAGAAGAAAGAATAAAGTGGAATTGACTATTAAAATACCAAATATATCAACTTTGAAATTAAAATCTGAGGATTTGAAATTGTCAACTAAACCCCGAAACTTGGGTTTCCTATGGATCTCTAGTCTGCAACCAAAGAGTATCAAAACACTCCACAATTTGTTAATTTTCGCTTCAAATACCCTAAACCTTAGTGAATTAAAACATTAATAGAAATATTAAAATAGTTGTACTTTGTTAATTCCATGGGAATGACAAATTGGTGAGAATAATAGAAGAGTATGCTACCACATCATTGCAGGGTCCAATTGATAGCTTAATTTCCATTTTGGTAGGTATTAATTCAAACTAGAGGCATTTACATGCCACAATTTTTATTTATCTACAAATATAACACCTGAACATTTAGATCTACATGCATACCACACGATCTTCAATTACCTCAAAAATACTACCATTACTATCTTTAAAAATAAAATTCACATTTTCATGCTCAGGTTTATGACACTAAGATGTTATAAGTGTAAATATCAAACTTTGGGTGTTAGATATGTAAATACATAAATATTTTGTTTCATGTTTGTAAATTTCCCTTCAAACTATCATATCTAGCCATAATGGTTTGTCTGTATATTTTGTGGCCTTTAATAACTAATAAATAAATCCCCTATGGTGGAAAATGACTTTTATCTAATAAAGACAGCAATTATGCATTTTATTCAGCCATAAAAATAGAAACTCTATTTATCAAATCGAGTTCTTAAAGATGCCAATCATGCAAATCAATTATTCCACATGTATGATGTCAAATAGATGCAATGAAACTCTTAGCTCGTTTATATCCATACCTTTTTACATGGGGAAAAAAAAGTATATTTATCTGAGTTGACAAGAATGTGCAGCCATATGTAAAACTATCAGGATACATCAGAAAGGCCCAAAGCTGAGTTTAGGTCCAAAAAAAAAAGTTAACAAATTCAAATATTCGCAAATTTTCAATTTGACTTGACAAAATAGCATAAAAGACGAGTATGTCTGCAATATCAGAAAATATTTAAAAACATGGTAACAAAGAAACACTTTATTGTGGAATATCTAAACTAACATGTTGCTCAAAACCACTTGTTTATCAAAAGCCTGAATCCTCTTTCTTTTCTTCACATTTCTCCGCTTGATAGGAAAAGCTGGTTTGGGATTCAAAACAGGAGTGCGTATCACTGCATCAAACCAGAATTCAATTGTAGAAGACAATTGAAAAATGGAATGTCTATAAGAAAAACAGTATGTGGCATTCGTAAAATAATAGAGATAACTAACCAGTCGATGCTTCAAGGTCCGGAAAATTTAATTTAATTTGAGATGTATTGAACAGCTGTTCAGCGCCATTGGAAGAGTCTCTTTCAAGAATTGAAATATTTTCAGGTATAGTTGAGAGACTCTGTCTCTTATTAATGGTTGGACTAGAATCTTGACCAATTTGGAAGTCTCCAGGAGCACTAAGATATTGAGGGAGATGACCAGGATCACAACGCATGTTCTCAATATCCAGAGCCCCTTGTGGTGTATTCTTTTCATTCTGAGTTGGAACCTTAACATTTAAAGGGGTATGTTCCTGAGAACTAAAAATAGATTCGAATCCGCGCTCAAAAGGAGGTAGAATGCTACAAGAAAAGTTGAGAGTTAAATAATCTAAAATCCCATAACAATAAGGAGAATAAAAGGTGTTGAGGAGTTCAATACTCGTCTTCTAGTTGCCTGGAAACTGGGCTTATGTTTGTTGTTTGAGGAGATGAAATGAAAACATTTTTTGGTTGAGGAGACAAATTCAACCCATTTGACAATCTAGGTGATAGATTCAGTCCATTTTCCTACGCATTTAATGAAAGAATGCAAATCATAATCCAAATTCTATAAATAAAAAAAATAAAATTATAAATTAGAAAAGAAAATAAGACCTCGCTGATACAAACAGCTACGTATTGCTCTTCTTCCACTGGAATTTGATCTGCAAATGAGAAAAACTCCACTTAAATAAAGGGGCATTTACATACATAGCAAACAATTATTATGTATTTACATATCTCACACCTAAACTTTCATATTTAAACAAATAAGATTTAACTTTTTATTATTACATTGAATTAAAATAGCGGTATTAGCACTTTTTAAAAGTGAAATTCACCTTTCATACATAGGTTTAGAGTATCAAAGTGCTATGTATGTAAACATAAAAATTTAGGCGAGATGTGTAAATACGTAAAAAATTGTGTGCCATGTATGCCAATTTCTCTTTGCATTATATATATTTATTTTTGCTAGATAGATACACGCGCGCGCGCACACACACATACACACGCACATACATATATTAAAAATAATTAAGAGCTAAATGACGGCCAAAAGCAAACCTGTCATGGTGATCTGGTTATATGACTTAACATGCTTATCAGGTTCGCTGAAAATAAAAAAAAAACAAACTTAAACCTCTCAAAAAGAAAAAGATAACAACATCATGAAAGTGGTCTGTTTAGTTCACAAGCATGTGCAATAAATGTCAAGATAAAGTGCACAATGTCTGCACAATTTCCTTATTTTTAATACCAAAACAAATGCTTTTTTTTTGGGGTATCTTAAAGACAGCAAAACCACAATGCTAAGTGAATTTTGTAGCACCTTCAAGTGTTTTCACATTCTCTCCTAATAGGCAAAACCACAGATATAAGATTTTCAACTTTGCAGAATAGTCCAAAGGCATCAAGAATGTCTTCTCTGAGGCAAACATAGTCAAGAACAAAAAAAAATGCATAGCTGCCATTGGAACCTAGAAATTTGAAAACATCATGGTGTTGCATAAATCATGTTGCTTTTGTTTAAGAATTAAGAGTTGGACAAATTATATTTTTTCCAAGCTGCAAATTACCTAGAAATTTTAATTATCGTTATGACTGGTGTATGTTATTATTCTTTAAACTTTTTATTCTTTGAAAAACAAAAAAAAAAAGTATAAACATAGTAATATTAAATGGGTATGTGATGAATGTTTAATGAACTCTAAAAGTTTAGTCGGACCAAACAACAACAATCTTAACAACAATAAATTCTCTCAAAATTTTAAAAACTAAATCAAACACACTACTTGATAGATAAAACTGGCGGGTATTGATTGACATCTTAATAATACTACAAAAATAGGACCCAAACAACACCTAAAAGCAACCCCCATAAGACACTTACTCTGTTCTATAGTAAGATTCATCTAAACCCATGGTATTGAGGTCAAATGTCTCTGGCAAGGTCACAGATTCAAATGGAGCATGGTCTGCCTCTATAGGAAGATCAACTGGCACTGATGCAAAGGCCTTCCTTATGTATGAAACCAACTTGTTGCAATCTGAATAAACGTGGTTCACCTTCCATGAATATATCCTAACAATCCCAATAAGCAAATGTCCTGAAAGCCTTAGAGCAATGGGCACATCAGGCATCATGATTTTTTCTGCATAAATAAAACAATTATACAAAATAAGAAGACATGTAAATGCAAAAGTTTATAAAAAAATCTTTTGTATGGAAATAGAGAACAGAGTTCACTAAATTTTTTTAACTCCACAAATGTGTTATGAGTTGCTTTTAGTCTGGAATTCAGTCCAACGCCAAAGATTGAGTTGAATTAGTTAGAGACATAAGTGCAATAGAACCTAACTTGAAACACATAAATTTTCTAAAATGAACTTTAATTTTGAATAGCTAATAGACTAATTTTTATTTGTGACAACTAAATTTGGTTCACTTTTTTTAATTTTTTTACTTTTATTTATTTATTTATTTATTGTTGATTTGTTGTACACAAATCTAGTCTTTAAGTAACAAATAGTAGTGCAACAGCGGTGGTCTATTACTTATGTTGATATAGACCTATGTTGATAAGTTATTGTACATCCAAAAATAGATTTTCTAATTTATTAAGGAAGCTCATGTGTATCATGCACCTGAAGCCTTCTAGGGCTATTGGATTAGGTTTTTTTTATCATGCACCTGAAGCCTGCTTTTCGTTATTTGATTGTACTCATCAAACACATAGAACAAAGTAATGACCACAAAAATTGTCCCAAGAAGAGTTGCAAACTAGCAAGAACTCATCAAGCTCCTCTGTCGAGCTCACCTATATTCACCAAGTTTATTCGCTAAACTTGCCTGCACTTCTTAAGTTTTGTCACTGAGGTCATTCATCAATCGTTCGAGGTCACCCACATGGCAGAATTAATGAGAGTCAAGCCCATCATTATCCATGCCCATTTATGAATCGCAGAAAACCCACAGTCGAATCTTTTCAATAATAAATCTCGATTAGGCCTCATACAATAGCTTATAATATATCATTTTTTTTTTATCTTAATTTTTTTAGTCTGATGAATGCAAGGACACTCAAGGGGATATATAAATAGAAAGGGGGAGGGAAACTAGGCTTGATATTTTTTAACCTTCTCTACCTATCTCACAAGTTTTATCCAGGATATACAATTTCACGCAATATATGGGACTCGAAAGTGAATTAATAGCCAGATTAGAGGTCCAAATCTCTTTTTCCCACAACTCTTGTAACTATTGTAATTGTCTGTTAATCGGCTGCTAGTGTGATGAAAATAATGCTGCAGAAAAAGGTTACCAATATTGACTGGTCAAGCGAGGAGATAGTTGTTTGTAAAGATACTTCCAAACACATTTGAGATGAAATGAAGAAGTATCCAGGTAATACAAAAGCAAAGCTTTTACAGCGACATAAAAAACAAACAAACGAATAACTAGATTGATGTTTTGATAAAGCCCGACTTTTTTTACCAGGAAATACAGAAGGAAGAATGTCAGGAATGGAGCAAGAAAAAGAAACAGAGAAGGGAAACGAACCAGCATAAGAAGGAATGTTGATGCTTTCTATCTGTGGCCGCTTGAGCTTGTGATCGAGATGAGCTGCGATCCATACTATCCCTAAAGGACTTTTCCGAGCAAGAAATGTGTGGGAGTAGAACATTGTATATTTCTCTTGTACCTTCGCCTGCTCTGCTCTCTTTAGTTACTGGCCGTTACGATGGCAAGCGAGATTTCACTTCCAAAAACTTCAAAAACTAGGTTCCACTAAAAAAATCTAAATAAATCTAAAAGAAATTTAAGAAAATTTAAGGTGAGAGGCGAACCCAAAGATAAATATGAAATATTAGAGAATAGATACTCAAAGATAACGCCTCGGTGGCCAAACAAACAACGAAGCAAGAATGCCGAACAATCGAGCCAGCGCTGACTATCAGAGTAGAAATAGAAACTAGATATTAGAAGAAGAACACAAACGGAAAACCCTAAGCTCTCGCGGCCGAAAGCCTTTCGCGATTTTGAGAGGAGAAGGAGAAGACAGCCGAACATGTGAGAGGGCGAGTATAATGGGCAGCAGAAAAAGGCGGGAATTAAAATGCGAGCGACAGTGGCGGGCGAAATTGACTCATTTACTGTAACTTTAATTTTTATCTGATTATCTCGATTAATTGGTATTTGCACGACTGATCAAATTAACTAATTTTGATTTCTTAGAAAAAATTTGTATTAGAAAAGTTAATTAAGTTTAGATTTGAATTATTATTTTATTCTTTTAGTGTTTACTTTCTTCTATGAAGCACTGACATGATAGGACGGATATAGAACGACATGATACAGGGACGCTACATAATTAAACAAAATATGAGATGATACATTGTACTATAGAGACATTTCTATATTTAATCAATTATTAATATAAAAAATATATATTTTTATTATTCTTTATGCAAAATATCATGCCCCACATAATGCAAGAATAAAATTTAACTTCATAAATCTAATTTATATTTTAAATCCTTATGAAATTAATTATTTAAGAATATATATAATAAGTTTCAAAAACTTTTGTCCTAAAATGTCCTTTATGAATATACGCCAAGAGTTAGAATCGGACAAATGAAAAGTCATAATTTACTGTTGAGTGGTCGGGAAAAGTCCATTTTTTCATATTTTTGTCTCTCATAGATAGAAACATGTTTTCTACAATAACATAAAGGAGAAAGCACTTATAAAAATCGCTCTTAATAAATTGATGCTTTAATTAATCATATGAATTTTCGTATTATATAT